GTTTCATCCAACAGCGGCGACTCGTCGAGTCTAGGATATGGACTCGCCGAGTCGCCAACTTAAAACGTGACCTGGATCGCGTCTATACTCGGCGAGTCGGACCCATGACTCGCCGAGTCCAAGGCTAAAATGGGAAATGTTCGAATAAGATTTACATACCAGAAACCAGGTGCTACATATAACAAAGAAGTTATGGCCCATCGAAGTTTTACGGTAAAACCGACACAGCACCGGGAGACGTAAATAGTGAATTTACGATGGAGGACTTTTTAGCCTTAGTGATCTAAACCAAAGTTGTAGTATACATTAAACCGAGAACATCCATAAAAAGAACACCCAAATCTGACTTTGTATGAGGAAGTTATGATTTTTCTAAGATTCGGCTTAGCAGTGTACAACTCGAAACTCAAATTTTAGTTCGGGTGGTTTTTGGCTTACGCAACCTTAATGAGAGTTGAAGATCTCATTAATAGGAACTCAACGGTAAAATAGACGAAAATAGAGTCCATATGTAGAACTTATGAATTTTACGCGGACATTTAACAGTATAATCTCCTCCTAGTGTTAAATTTAAGATCGGTCGAGAATTAGCCGACGGACTCTAAATGAGAGTTGTAGATATTATTTTTACCTATGTGTGGATATAAAGAGCGTTGAAGATGCCACGTGTCAGTACCAGGTGAAAACTTGGAGCCTACGCAACACCACGACGTGGTGATGCTACAGGAGCACTATAAATAGAGGTGTCGGGGCAACCCTCAACCTCACACCTTAACCCTTCTTTCTCTCTCTAGAACCACTCTCTAAACCTCCTGAACCCCCCCCCCCCAAAAAAAAAAGCATGGGGAGCCCCCTAGCACGAGGCGGAAGCCCCGGAGCACCTGACGGCTCCGAAAGGAAGAGCCTTCGGCTCAGAAACTCTGCTCCGGCAGAGCCCGGTTTCCAAGGAAACCCGTTGTAAGTGAGCTATGTCTAACCTATGTTTAGTATAGCTTATCTTTAATATAGTAACATTATTAGGAACTTATAATGAGTATTTGGGCTATTATTATGAGTTATATAAGATTGTTTCTTAACGCTTATATAATAGTAATAATATCTAGACTATTAATTAGTCACTGTTAACGTTAGACTAAACTCTAGTGGTAATGATACTAGGTTTTGTCCGAGGAAAATTGTTTTAACAATAACGAAGTGTTGTCCGACTACCGAGTCATCACCTTATCAGGTGAGTGCATAGTTACTTTCATCTTACACATAGATATGAAGTATTTTATATAAACTACGTGCTATGTGTGCATATTATCTGAATATTTGCTGTCTATGTTGGATTAACGTTTTTATACATGTTTTAAATGATTTAAATTGTATACTTATTTTATATATACAAATATGTTGGGTATGATATGGGTAGAAGAATGAGGAGAGATAAAAGATGATGTGAGTAAACATTAGCAGCTATAGACTTAGTGCCTAATAAATAACATCGGCAGCTATGGACTTAGTGCTTATTAGACAAACACTGGTAGCTATGGACTTAGTACCTGTTAGGAATTGGTAGCTATGAACTTAGTACCTATTAGATAAACACTGGTAGCTATGGGTTTAGTACCCCATGAATAAACTATAGCAGCTATGGAATTAGTGCTTTACGAACGAGCATTGGCAGCTACGGATTTAGTGCCAGTCCTATAACCTTGGAAGCAAGGGACTTCAGAATAAATGAATGCAGGATAGTGTAACATCCGGATTCTCAGGAATATTATTTGATTCATTTAGCTTGGAGTTTGTGGAGGGACTCGGCGAGTTAGTGCTTAGACTCGCAGAGTAGGGATGCGAATTCTCATCCGGATTAATGACCAGACTCGGCGAGTTCATGAGTGGACTCGGCGAGTCCGCATTGTTTTATGAAACCCTAATTTCCCAGGTTTGGGGCCTATTTAAAGGTCCTTAGGGCCATCATTTTCGGCTACCAAACCCCAAAGAGAAACCCTAAAAGAGCTAGAGCGTTTGTGAGAAGAAAGGAGCCATTTCTTGATCTTTGTGGTTGATTTTTGCAAGAAGGAGGTGATTCTAGCTTGGAGGAGACCAAGGAGGTTGTGCATCTGGGGATTTCTAGCAAAAGACTTCATCTTTGAGGTATTATATCGCCCCTTTATCTGTTTTGTTGAAGGAATCCATAGATGTAGAGTTTTTATGTCCTTTATTGGAATGAATTGTGAGAATATGGCCCCTATTCATATTGAGACTTCAGATATGGACCCATAGTGGTCTAAAGAGCTTATTCCACCTTGCTTTATGTTGAGCTATGGAGGTAATGAGCTTAAGGTGTTGTTTTTGGGGCTAAATCACCAAGTGAAACCTCCTAGACATCACATGAGTGTCAAGATCCGAGCTTTACGTGATTATCAGGCTTCGGAAGGTCAGATCTATGGATCAAAGGAACAGATATGACCTCAGGAGGCCAACTGAGTTTATGCATGGCATGAACTCGCCGAGTCCAAGGGCAGACTCAGCGAGTAGGGATAGGGTTTCCCGTAAGTCACTCAGTGAGTAACTTGCCGAGTTGGGGGAAATGAATCAGTGAGTCAAAGGGGGGATAGAGGACTCGAGTTCAAGGTGGAACTCGTCGAGTTGATCTTGAGACTCAGCGAGTTGAGTCGGGGTGGCCCCGTGATTCATGCCAGGTGTAGCTCATCGAGCAAGAGAAAGACTCGACGTGCCAAGAGAGACTAGAGAGATAGGGGACACGTGTAGACTCGCCGAGTCGCCCAAGTGCACTCGATGAGTCTGGTAAAAGTTTGATCGTTGACTTTTATTGACTTTTAGGGTTTGGTCAACAATGGGGTCGTTGAGCCAAGAGAGGAGTAAAATGGTCTTTTACCCTTCTGAGGATGACAAGAGAGAGTTGAGTCTAGTCTCGAGAGTTATATTTATGAGAGTATTTACCTTATGTGATTAGGTGGAGGCTAGACCGTATTTCTACCGAGTCAGAGATTTACCGAGATATCTGAGGTGAGTCTTCTCACTATACTTTACCTTGAGTAGGTAATTAGATTTATGTGACAGATTTATTGTATGCTATCTATGTGATGTGTTGCACTGCATTATTTGTATGTGATTATGCCGTGTGTATATCAGAGTTAGAACCGGAAGGTTCACAGAGCTAGGACTAGAGGGTCCACAGAGTTAGGGCCCAAGGGCCCGCAGATTTATAGCCTCGAGTGGTTAGTATGTGATATGTGTGATATTTTGGGGAACTCACCAAGCTTCATGCTTACAATGTTTTGTGTTATGTGTTTTAGGTTTTCTCAGGATCACGGGACGGCACCAGCTCGATTGTACACACCAGAGGAAAAGTTTGTTTTGAGGATCCTGGCTTGTTAAGTGTTTGAACAAAAGAGTCATGTATTGTAATTAAAACAAAAAGGAGATTTTTATGAAAAGTGTTAAAGAGATAAACTATTTTAAATGAAAATTTTGTTTTGAAAATTTCGATGTTACAGATAGATGACTCTTAGGATAGATCCTTATGAGTAATGAAGATAATGGGGATGGTTAATTGGGTTGATTGTTTGATTGTTTAAACTTAATAATTATATTATTGTGGGTTGAAAACCATATGTACTCACCAGGTTCCCCAACCTGATCCACTCAGTTTATTTATATCATAGGTGTTGGTATGAAGTCACATTACACTGAAAGATTAAGGAAATATAAATCACTAGTGATACTGAATGTTAGGGGTGAGCAAACCCGAACCAAGAAACCGAAAAACCGAAAAAAACCGACGAAACCGAAACCGAATCAAAACCGACGGTTAGGGTTTTAAATTTTTAAAAACCGACTTTTCGGGTTCGGTTTCGGTTTTTACCCAGAAACCGACCCAATAAACCCGAGAAACCGACCCTCTTTAAAAACCGAGAAACCGACCCATAAACCCGCAAAACCGACGGTTTTTACTGCCCATTTTATATATATATATATATATATATATATATATATATTAAAAAATAAAGATGAATAAAAGAAGCCCTTCGTCATTTCCGACTTTCCTCATTTACATTTTGCCCTACCTCTCGCTAGTCGGCCACTCGCAATCGGCAATCGCATCCCTGATCCCCCCATTCGCCATTCCCGCAAAGGCGCATCTCCGACTCCGACTCCATTGAAGTGAAGAAGCTCGGCACTCCTCAGGCGCTCAATCGATCGCACACTCACAGTCTCCACCCTCGAACGATCGGCAGTCGCACACAGACGAGACCTGTAACGGAGCCCTAAACCTCCGGCGCCATCAACGAGACCTGCAACTCCTCTGTATCGTCAAATACGGTAAATTCTTTTTCTAAATTCATGTTCAATTAGCAATTGCTGCTTGCTACCATCGGCAACAACCCAAACCCAAAAAAACCTTACGACCCAATTTTTCTGATTTTATATAGAATCTTCAATCTTGTGTTTATGTTGTGAATTTCAGAATTTCGCTTGAGTGTTGTTGTCCGGTTCATTTGATGCATTGTAATTGTATTATTATTATGTTTTCGGAATTTCAGAATCTTCAATCTGAAATTTCAGAATTTCAGAATCTTCAATCTTGTGTTTATGTTGTGTTATTATTATTATTATTATTATTATTATTATTATTATTATTGAAACTTTATCTTATTTCTATCATATTTATGTATGTTATTGTCCTTATGATGGAAAGGGATATAGGAAGAATTTCATATAAGCGATCTCTTCACTAACGTATGTTTGTACTAATACCACATAAAGTTTCTTAACTCCGACATTGTTAGTCGCAGATGGTGTTTAAGGAGGTGAAAAAACCTTTGATGCATTGTATTCTGAAATGTTGATATCAAAATAATCAATTTGATGCATTGTATTCTGAAAGATATGAACCTTATTGTTTGCATATAGAGTGTTGAATTGAAGCTTTTTATTTCCTGAAATTTTTTGGTTTACATATGGATTGGTGATTGTTTTTTTCTATGTAGATGGAAAGCTCTCAACTAGATGCACAAACTGTTGATGTTGATGCTCCCCAAACCATTGATGTTGATCTTGATGTGGATGAAGGAGATGATGAAGTAGTTGTAGATAATAAGGGTGGTGGTCATAGAGTATCTTGGGTATGGCAAGATTTTGATAGAGATGCCGTAAAGAAGGGTGCTAAGAAAGTGAAATGCCCATATTGTTCAACAATGATGTGTGCAAATTCAAATAAAAACGGTACGAGTGCAATGGGAAATCATTTAAGACTCTATTGTCCAACATCTCCTGTTTATGACCCTAAAGGAAAAGTTGGTGATACGAAAAAACAATCTGTGTTGAGTTTCAAAAAAGTAGGAGACTCGGGGGCTACTTCTTTGGAAGTTCATTCCTTCAGCCAAGAGAAATGTAGGAATTCCTTAGCCCGCATGTGTATCAAAGACAATCAACCTTTTAGCATAGTTGAAGATGAAGGATTTAGGGAATATTCACGGGATTTGCAACCTCTATTTAAATTGCCTTCAAGGTGGACTGTTGCAAGGGATTGTTTGCAGATATACAAAGAAGAAATGTATAAATTGAAGGATGTTTTAAAAAATCAAACCGTCTCCATTACAACTGATACTTGGACATCCATCCAGAACATTAACTATAGTTGTTTAACGGTACATTGGGTTGATGAGACGTGGGTTTTGAGACAGAAAATTCTGAACTTTTGTCCCATTGCAAATCATAAAGGTGTAACCATAGGCAAACTCGTTTACAAATGCTTACAGAATTGGGGAATTGAGAAGGTGTTTACAGTGACTGTGGATAATGCTTCCTCAAATGATGGGGCAATTAGGTATCTAGCGACCATGCTTAGGGGACCCCATGCTTTTTTGGATTGCAAATATTTGCATTTGAGGTGTTGTGCTCATATCATAAATCTTGTGGTTAGGGACGGGTTAGAAGAACATTTTAGTTCCATCACAAAGATCCGAAATGCTGTGAAGTATGTGAGGTCATCGGGTGCTAGGTTTGCTACATTCCTAGAGTGTGTTGAGAAAGTGAAGATTAATTGTAGTAAGAAACCATCCCTTGATGTTGACACAAGATGTAATTCTACATTTTTGATGTTAGAGACGGTAGAAAAGTATGAGGCGGCGTTTGATAGGTATTTTATATACTATTAAGTATGATATATATATATATATATATATATATATATATATATATATATATATATATATATATATTATAATTTACATACTAATGTTTTTATTGAATTTTATTTTGTATTGTAGGCTTCTTGCGATTGATAGTGGTTTTAAAACTTTTTGTGGAAGTGAGGTTGATGATGGTGAAGTGACTACCAGAAAAAGAAGAAGAAATGAGAAAGTTGTGGGGACTCCCGATGCCGACGATTGGGAGGTTGCTAGGTATAATTGCTTTGTATATTACTTCAATTATGAAATTTGATATTGTTTAATTGCTTTGGTAGGTATTTTATCAACTATTTGAGGATCTTTTACAATGTCACAAAAAAGATATCCGGGTCCAAGTATGTGACAGCAAATATATTTTTTAAGGAACTTGTGACAATGCAAGCAAGCATAACTAGAATGTGTGCAAGCACAGACGAGAAAAAGAAAAAGATGGCAAAGTCGATGAAAGAAAAATACGACAAATATTGGGACAACATTGAGAACATGAACTTCATGCTTCACATTGTTGTCGTTTTAGATCCCCGCAACAAGATGTGTTATTTGGAGTATTGCTTGGAGTTGATTTATGGTAAGAATTCTACCAAAACAAAAACAATTTTGGAGCATGTCAACAAAACACTAGAGGACTTGTTTCAACACTTCAAGAACAAGACGGAGAGAGAAAGATGTGAAAAGACAAGGAGTGCATCGTCTTCTACACCTAGTTATTTTGATTTTGAGCATGGAGTTGATATGGAAGACGATTTTGAAAGGTTTATGGAACAACGTGGACATGGGGTTAATAAAACAGAGCTTGAGATTTATTTATCAGATGGGATGGAAAAACGGGCGGAGGATTTCCAGATTTTGGGGTGGTGGAAATCTAATTCAACAAAGTTTCCTGTACTTTCTGAAGTGGCGAAACTTGTTTTAGGAATGCCAATCTCCACAGTTGCATCAGAGTCGGCATTCAGTACTGGCGGGAGGGTGATTGATGAAAGTAGAAGCTCCCTTACACATGTGACTGCCGAAGCTCTGATTTGTGCACAAGATTGGATACGGGACACCCCAATTGATATCCAGTTTAAAAATATGACGACTTTATATATGGAAGAGATGCGAGAGAAGTTGGTGCCAATAGAAACCGGTAAATATTTTACTATTTTTTACATAATTATAAGTTTGTAATTATATATGTTTATAATTAATTAATTACATATTATTGTTTTGTGTTTGTAGAGGAATTGGGGTGTGGTCAAGGGAGTTGCATGGATGAGGATTTTACTTGAATTTTAAAGGTTTATAAGTTAATTATTTTAATTTTATACTTTTACACAAGTTTATTGCTCAATAATCATTAATCAATACTAATGTTTTTTGGTTTGTAGATGAATGGGGAAGTCGTGAAGAGATTTACATGGATATGGATTGAAGATTCGTGTTTGCGTGTTTTGGACTTTTGGTTGTAATCGACTATTTGACTATTTTGGACTTTGTGTTTTAGTGATTGTGTGTTAATGTGTTTGGTTGTAATAATTGACAATTTCGGACTTTTGTGCTTTAGTTTGATTGTATGTTTGGTTGTAATATACAATTTGGTTGTAAAACTCATGTTTTTTGAAGTATTTAACTTCAATTAAGTGTTTTTTGAATTATTTAACTTATTGCTCCATTTCTGGAAAATGGGTTTAAACCCAGAAACCGTAAGTTTATGGGTTGAACCCAAGAAACCGAGAAACCGCCCAAACCGATAACAGAACCCGAGAAACCGAACCGACCAGAAACCGATGCCATTGGGTTCTGAAAACCAGAAACCGATCATTTACGGGTTGGGTTGGGTTGGGGTCCAAAACCGACCCAAACCGACCCATGCACAGCCCTACTGAATGTAAGTTCTGTTTATGCTTATGTTTCTGTATTGACGATGACATCCCAAATGTTTTAAAATGAATAAACTTATTTTTCTTTGGAAATGCTTTGATAACGTATTTATCATGTTTTATTGGGAACAAATTCCGCAACATTTTTATTAAAAGAGGTACTCTGATTTTTATAAAGCATAAACAAAATCGGTCTTTTCTGGCCGCGAAAATGGGGATGTCACAGTTGGTATCGGAGCATTAGTTTAAGCGAACTAGGAATAAGGATTTATTTCTAGACTTAAACTTAGAATGTTAAGCAATGATTGTGAGGATTGTGTCTAATAGATTTAGGTAATATACCTGAATAGACACAAGCACTAGCTTATTTTAGGAATGATACCTAAATTGCTTTTACTTGCTAAATGATTTGTTATACTTTATGCTATCGTTTGATCGGATCTATGGTCTGTTGCCGACCGGATCTGGAAACCTTATGTGTTTAGGATTCTAAACATACCAATATGATATTAGAACTAGCATATAAATGTTTTGGAGTGATAAGGATGATTTAAAACGTCAATCCTAAATCAAGATCTAGATTCACCTTATTCGGTGTATAGATCAAAATGGCAAGAACCCGTAGTGGAGCTGGGAATACAAACGAGAATAGGAATCAACCCTCGGTGATTCAGCAAATACCTGTTGTAGTAGAAGATTTACCCGAGCCAATCACCATGGCTGGAGTACAAGACATGATTCGGGCTATGTTAGTTGAACAAAGGGAAGAAATGAGGTGGATGTTGCACGAAAATAGGGACGAACGTACCATGCCCATAGAGCAACCAGAGCTAATTCCCAAGCAATCGGAGGAAGGGAACTATAGTTGCCAAGTGAGTCAAGTTGGGACTCAAGGTGAACAAAGGAATGGCCTGGAAAAGGGAAACGACAAGGATGGGAGAATGTACAAGAATTTCTTGGGTGCGAAACCACCGAGTCTCTCAGGAAGCCCGAAGCCGGTTGAGATTATGGATTGGATCTCCAAGATGGAGATGGTGTTTGAGAGCTGTAGTTGTAGCGAGAAACAGAAGACTATCTTCGCAGTAAGACAGCTGAAAACAGGAGTCTTGAGCTAGTGGAAGCTACTGGCAGATACGGTGCCACGAGGAGAAGCCTAAGGATTTCATGGGAAGAATTTTTGGAACAGTTGAAAATGCAGTACTGCTCAGAGATAGATCTGATAGACCTGAACAACGAGTTTCAGAACTTGAAGAAAGGGAAGATGAGTGTTGATGAGTATGCCACCGCATTCACCGAGAGGATGAAGCTATTTCCCTACTTGGTTCCTACTGAACTCTCCAAGATTGATAGGTTTGCTAACGGATTGCCCAGTGACTTTGGCCCAATGGTTAAAATGGCAACTACCTTGAAAACAGTTGTTAGGGCAGCTAAGAACGTAGAGACCTAGATTAGAGAAAAGGGTCTAGAAAAAGATAAGGCAGGAGAGAAGCGGAAGTTTGAAGGATCTTCAAGGTCCAACAAGGAGAGCAAATTCTCAAAGCTTGGAGGAGGAGATGGAGTTGAAGCGAGATCGTGTGATAAATGCAAGAAGAAGCATTATGGGAAGTGCAACGAAGAGGTGACTTGTTACAAGTGTGGAAGGACTGGTCACTATTCCAAGGATTGTACACATAATGATAAAGTATGCTACGGATGTGGAGGCAAGGGGCACATGTCCAGAGACTGCCCGAGGAAAAATAAGGCAGCAAGACCAGAAACGCCACCAAGGCCAAGGGCATTCCACATGATCCTCGATGAAGCGAAAAAAAACACGAGGAACCAAGGATGAGGAATCCATACCTGAAGATTGAGTTATGAGGTAGCCTAAGAGATAGAACAATATGATGTAGCCTATTAGAGGCATAGTCTAGGGTGAACTTGAACACCTATGTAATAGTTTCAAGAAATAATAAAGCCTTCGTTTTGTATCTGATGTGTTAAACTGTTATGTGATATTCTTGCATGATGACTTGGAAAACTATGAGACAATACTTGGGACGAGTATGACTAGGTGTGAAAGGTAGTGAATGCATATACTACCAGAAGCACAGGACTCACGCTTGGATCAGGGAAAGTCACAAGGTTACCAAGAAGCCAATAATTGAGTTTCTTTTATTTAGGCATGTCGTTACCATCGTTTCGGTAATGACTAAGAAGATTGTTGTTATTCTGACCCTAGTGGTCATATCAAATTGAGTCCGAATACGATGAGTATGATACATGGTTCAGAGAACCAAGTTCAATGACATAAGCCGGAAGGTTGAAATAAAAGATAATCAAAGCGATCATTAGAGGTATCGTGATAGTTGGTTGTAGCTAGAAATGCTACCTTTTAAGATGTGATTATATCACAATAGAACATGAAGGAAGGTATAGTCTGTTATGGAAGACTCTAAGAGACTTGAGTCTAAGCGTTGCAACATACGATGATAGGTCATCAGAATATGACACATCGTTCCATTGTAGCAATAAAAGAACTTATCTTAAGTTCGTATCCAGTGAGGATCAAGATTGTGACTTGAAGGTCATAATTTGCAGTCTAACGTGAGATAGGGAGCAAGTGCAAGATCGAGCACCGCCTGCAGTCAAGGAGTCCAAGAGTTAGATACTCATTCGAAGAAACAAAGAAGTTATGACTATTACCTAGGATGAAGAGATAACATATGGATTCATTATAATGCCCTATTTCGTTGATGATTCCCGGATGTAATCATCTTAAAGGGGAGATAATTGTAACGCCCGTAGATCCGGGCTAGTCAATTTAGAGATAATACAGGTCGAAAATGACTTTTTGACAAAAGATTATTTACAATAATAATCTTAACCAAGTATTATAATATGTCTCAAGGGTTCCGTACATATAAAGAACGCCGAAATCCGAGTTATAACAAAGAAGTTATGGCCCGTCGAAGTTTTACAGCAAAACCAGCACAACACCGGGAGACGTAAATAGTGAATTTACGATGGAGGAATTTTTAGCCTTAATTATCTAAACCAAAGTTTTAGTATACATTAAACCGAGAACATCCATAAAAAGAACGCCCAAATCTGACTTTGTATGAGGAAGTTGTGATTTTTCTAAGATTCAGCTTAGCAGTGTACAACCCGAAACTCGAATTTTAGTTCGGGCGCTTTTTGGCTTACGCAACCTTAATGAGAGTTGAAGATCTCATTAATAAGAACTCAATGGTAAAATAGACGAAAACGGAGTCCGTATGTAGAACATATGAATTTTACGCGGACATTTAACAATATAATCTCCTCCTACTGTTAAATTTAAGATTGGACGAGAATTAGCTTACGGAGTCTAAATGTGAATTGTAGATATTATTTTTACCTACGCGTGGATATAAAGAACGTCGAAAACGGAGTTTGTATGCGAAAGTTATGAATTTTTGAAAATCAGCTGATTTCCACCCTATGTGCGATGCCACGTGTCAGCACCAGGTGAAAACTTGGAGCCTACGCAACACCACGATGTGGTGATGCTACAGGAGCACTATAAATAGAGGTGTCGGGGCAACCCTTAACCTCACACCTTCACCCCTTCTTCTCTCTCTAGAAACACTCTCTAAACCTCCCGAAACCCCCCAAAAAGCCTAGTGAACCCCCTAGCACGAGGCGGAAGCCCCGGAGCGCCTGACGGCTCCGAAAGGAAGAGCCTTCGGCTCAGAAACTCTGCTCCGGCAGAGCCCGGTTTCCAAGGAAACCCGCTGTTAGTGAGCTATACCTACCCTATGTTTAGTATAGCTTATGTTTTAATATAGTAACGTTATTAGGAACTTATAATGAGTATTTAGGCTATTATTATGAGTTATATAAGAGTGTTTCTTAACGCTTATATAATAGTAATAATATCTAGACTATTAATTAGTCGTTGTTAACGTTAGACTAAACTCTAGTGGTAATGATACTAGGTTTTGTCCGAGGGAAATTGTTTTAACAGTAACGAAGTGTTGTCCGACTACTGAGTCATCACCTTATCAGGTGAGTGCATAGTTACTTTCATCTTACACATAGATATGAAATATTTTATATAAACTACGTGCTATGTATGCATATTATCTGAATACTTGTTGTTTATGCTGGATGAACGTTTTTATACATGTTTTAAATGATTTAAACTGTATACGTATTTTATATATACAAATATGTTGGGTATGACATGGGTAGATGAATGAGGAGAGATAAAAGATGATGTGAGTAAACATTGGTAGCTATAGACTTAGTGCCTAATAAATAACATCGGTAGTTATGGACTTAGTGCCTATTGGACAAACACTGGTAGCTATGGACTTAGTACCTGTTAGGAATTGGTAGTTATGAACTTAGTACCTATTAGATAAACACTGGTAGCTATGGATTTAGTA